CCATAAGCTCACGGCAAAGCTGGCATCAGGTGGGGACATGAGAAGCTGCTGTCCTGCTGCTGTTTGAGGGCAGCAGGACAGGAGCAGACAGGCTGTGAAGAGCAGGTGTGGTGCGCTCCAGGCTGCAGCAGAGCAGGAAGGCAGAGAAGTGCCACAGGCCACAATAGGACAGAGCCCTAGCAGGTCCCGGGGACTGATCATAGAACAGCTCAGGCACACAGGGCTGGTCACACTGACATACACATGCTGCAAGCACTGCAGGCAGAGAAAGGAAGCAAGCAGCAGCTGCTGCCCACCTGCATGCTCTGTGTGAAAGCTAAAACAGAAATCCCACAGACAGCAGACGGCCCTGCAGCAACACTAGCCCAGTAGAGGCTGGGTGCCTGCAGACCGCCCCGCAAGGCAGCACTTACGCCTTAGGCAGACAAGGACACTCCAGATCTCCTCAGGTTCCAGCAGGCTGGCACCCCTACACTTCCATTTCTCCAGCCACCGAGAAGCTCCTCCTGCCATGCTCCACAGGGAAGGCAGAAGGCAGGCAGGCCACCTGCAGCAGCAGTACCAGATCACCAGTCCAGCAAGAGAAGCAGTTCTGTGTTCCACTCCACACCCTGAATGCATGCATGGCCACAGAGGGAAACAACGCAGCTAAATGATTGCACGGTAACCGAAGAAACCCATTCAGGTTACCTCAGCTTAAAAAGAAAGAAATGCCAGTGCTGACAAGGGTGTGTAATGCAATCCCAGCCAAAAATGTTAATATGTAACTGTAAGAAGGAATCTGGTGAGGTAAGCTCCCACTTCACTCTGAATTGTCTTTAAAAGTTAATTGCTATTATACAAAAATCAGTTTAGAGAAATGGATGAAAAGGAAGTTTTTCCTTAAATCCCCATTCTCAGTCAAGTCAGTTTGTGACACACGCAGAACATAATGTTATCCGTGAGCACCTCAGACTTTAAACCAAAGACTTTTTATCTGGTACCATTAGAGGATGCGGTGGACGCCAATACGCATTTGGCAGGTTTTACAGAGACAAATTATCTCCGAAGTAACCATTTTAAGTTTGGTTTATGAAGGAAATTCTATGGGCGCTGCCCGTACTTGGAAGAGCACACCACACAGCCCACTTCAAGGCACTAAGAACACAATTTTAAAATCCATTCATTTAAATGAAGCTTTAGAAGTTATAAAGCTTAATGAGCATGCTGTTGAACACAGAGAATTTACTTATTACTACAGAAACCCATTTCTGTCTGTGGTTAGCTCTTTTTCTTCATAACTTCAGATAATTGACTGTAAACACAGATTGAGCATACACAAGTAGCATTATTATATTATTCTAAAGGCAGTTGAAGACCAAGATAAGGAGAACAGAGTGCCACATCCATTTCTACTTCAAGCCTGCTTCATTTCCATAATGTTAAGCTCATGGAAACACTCAGACTTCCACCAGGGTTCTCATCTCATACACGAACAGCCCATTTTAATAGCATCATAGTTTGGACTAAAGTGGGAAAGGATGGGATGAGGGAAGCCAAGAAAATTCTGTAGGCACGCTGCATTTTTAAGACATAAATAATTTCTCTTTGAATTATTTCTATGTTCAGTGACTCGTTAGGTGGCGGAAAAACTTAAGGCTTCATAAGTTGTCTAATAGCCTTATTATTGTTTGCAGGATGCGGGGTATAAACAAAAGAGTCTTAAGAAAAGCATTAAACCTATCAAAACTTTAGGACCTCAAAACTAAATATTTAAATTGCAAGGACGGGAAGCAGTACCGCCAACCATGGACCACAGCGCCTTGTACACACAGACTGATAAGAGGCTGGAAATCACTACTGCACACAGCAGTGTCACCCTGTGCATGCCTGTGGCAGTGCTGGTGCCCTGCAACTACTGCCAGCTGTGAGGACAGCCAGGCTGGGAAGCATGAGGGCACCTACATGAGTCCTGGCAAAGCTCAGCATCGTCTCCTGGCATGCCTCCAGCACAGCTACCCTACTGCTAAGGTTTTTGAAAGCTCTGATCCCTACAAGCAGTTGTTAGGGACAGCTACCAAGCAACTCACTAGTTACCACAGGTTTAGACTTCAGACTTTGGTAATTTAAGACTTTCTTAAATTATGGTTTACTAAATCTATATATGGAGTCCAAACTAAAAACTTCACTGCAAAGCTTTCATTTAAAGTCTCCTTTAAGTGTGGTTCTGGAAGGAGCTGGCAGGTCATCCTATAATGTGGAAACAGACACAGTACTTAAAGTATTTAAAAACTGTTCAGATAGCCTTTACAAGGTAAAACATGCTCCTAGAAAATACCTGCTCTGCTTTTAAACTAAGCTGGCCATTTCTCTAGACCCTTTTCACCAGCAAACTAATCACCAGCAGATCCATTTCTTGCAGTCCAGCACACAGAACTCAAACGCTGGACACACAAACCCTTTCAGCACGTTCACCATCAAGTGAGCTTTCATTTTTCATTCTCAAGCCACTGCTGATTAAAAAAAGCCACCTGCCTGTATCTGACCAGGTAACAGATTCAGAGCCCTGATTTGCAAGCACATGCTTCACTGGAAGCGGTAGGGATGGTGGGCTCTGAAACATACCTGCTAGGCATGGGGAAGTGGACCTAACTGCTTTAAAAACAATCAGAATTCATCCAGAGGTATGAATCTTGAAGACCAACTGCTTCTATATTCTTTTTGATATCCTATACCTCAGAAATTATGTTTTGTTACCTGATAGCATAAGGACTGTACCAGAGGGTGCTTTCAAGAGTTAGTTGTCAAAAAAGGACCCAGCCAGTTCAGCTGCCCTGAAGCTGCAGCCTGCTGCTCTGCAAAGAGCCAAATACATACACCAGCTTTACTTGAGATAAAGCCACATCTTTTCTGATTGTGCTTCTTTCATTTTAGTTCATTTCCAGCACACAAACTTAATGAAATTGAGTTTTTCCACCATATAGCTCGTTTTCAGTTGTGCTTCTTGCTAAACCTCTCAGAAGACCACAGGAACATGCAAGAAACCACATATGCTCAAAGAAGCAAGCTACAGCAACACATCACCAGCCTGTAATGGTAATCGGCCTTTTCTAGGCTCACTTCGCAGAAGGGAGAACAGACTGATGCACACTCACACAGAAGGTGAAAACATAAAGATACGAGCTCTTTTTTTCCCTTGATGCAAAAACAATTGAAAGTAGCCGTACAAAACAACATTCACGAATTTCTCAGAGCATCACGCATCTCAAGGCCATACCTTACAAGTAACTTCACAGAGCATAGCAAACATCCGTACTCCGTACTTACTGCCAGCGCCTTAGCGGGACACGGCGCGCGTACACATCCAGAGGTGAGCAAAGCCAGGTGACACCCGCGGAACTACACGTGTGCGTGGGACTCCCGCTGCCGTCGCACCGCGTCACAGCCTGCGCGCACGGGGCAGCCCCGAGCCGCTCGGTTCCCCTCGCAGCGGAGGACGGCTGGCACTCCGGTGTCAAGAGTTGATAAGACTGCAGAAAGCGCTGCTCTACTCCGCTACGAGAAGCGAAGTTCACAGATCCCGAAGCCGATGCAGCCTACAGCCAAGCCGTTCCATCGCTGCCGGGCTCCGCTCTCCGGCCCCGCGACCCTCCCGCCCCCCGGCCCGGCCCGGCGGGGTGCCGGGGCCCTGCCCGGTGCCGCGGCTCCGCTGGAACTCACCGGCAGCCTCCGGAGCCGCGCCCGCCGCCCGGAGCCGCCCGCCCGCCGCCCGCCCCACGCCGCCTTAACCCGTCCTGCGCCGCCTGGCTCTGGCCCGGCCCGGACCGCGCTCGTACGGAGCACCCCTGCGTGGAACGCTTTATGGCTGCGCGTTCTCAGAGAGGAGCCGAGGGGAAGCCTCCCACCACCCGCCGAAGCCCCGCGACATACCCGGAGCCCACCGGGGGCTGAGACAGCTCTCACTCTTTGGGAGCCACAGCGGCAAAACCCAAACGAAGCAGCACTGACTTCCACGAGCAGCTGGGGACAGCACCAATGGCGTACAGCCTGCTTCCCTCCAGCATCAGACGTAGATGGGTTTATATCAGCTATAGAAGAACAAATGAATAGAACAATCCCATACCCAACAAGGTGATGCAGAAAGCATAAGGCTCGCATCATCCTGGAATCCAGGAGCTGGCCCACAGCTTTACCATGAAGGACAAACTAAGTGCCAGTGTAGGTGCCACAGGTCTGAGCACTGGGTCTGTTCCAGTGCTGCCCACCTGTGTGATTCACCAAATGCAGGCACATGGCCCAGGTGCACAGGGCTGTGCATGTGGCTGCTGGAGCACTGACAAAAGAAAGTCACAGAATGAAGTCTGATTTCTCATGCTGTACTTGCTACCGGGATGTCTAAGTGTTACAGCACTAGAAATAGGTGGAGTCCCACACATTAACATGACACACATTGTGCCACACCACCTCTGCCGCAGCAGGTTTTCCTATTTTGTTCATAAGGGGGAGAGCCCAGTGTAAGAGCCTGAAATCATATCCCACACTGTTCCTCCCTTACTGAACGCTCACCTTGAGATGGCTCCAGAAGCTGTCTTCTGCTCCCTCCTGCCCTTTGCTTCCAGGTCTGTCTGTTCACTCCTTCCCTTCTGCTTTCTCCTTTTAAGACTTGCTTCCTGGGAACGAGAAGCTCATCACATACAACACAGCCAGAGCTAAGAGCCTGCTCTCAGGGCTCTTTGAAAAAACCTATGCTGAGGTCCTGCTTCCATTACATCGCATTACTCCTTAACAGCCGGGTGACACCACCCATCAGTCAGCTGCGGGATTCAGGCCCATGTTAATGCACAGAATTAGGAACCAATACATGCCAGATTTACTGTTAAGGTCAACCCTCACAGAACAGAGAGCCAGTGAGGAGCTCCAATAACTGGCTCTTAGCTTTCTTTCAAGAGAAAAGCAAGGGGAAAAAAAAAAAAAAAAGCCAGCCAGCTAGGAGGTGAAGACAAATTGATTTCTAAAATACATTAGTGATCTGTTCAAATATGCACCAGGCCTCTAACCTTTCTCCCCAGATTACTAAAACACTATCTGGCCTAAGAAAAGCATCCAAGGGCTTGCACATTCTAGAACCTCAATTGTTTTCAGACTTTTACAACATGCTATCCTGCCTTAGAGCTGCGCAAATTATTTTCTCTCCTGCCTTTTGTATCAAGTGCTGGCCAGTCTACAGTACAATCAAAGATCACATCTCTAGAGCTCAGAGGTGATTACAGCTAAGAAGGCTGCAGCTGGGTTGGAATCTTCCATCATATGTCCATTATAGGCTTCACAGGAGCACTACTGAATAGAGTGCATTTGCCTCCTAAGCCAGCAATTGTGGGTCTGTGTCCCATCCAGGGTGCCTAACTGTATCAAGTGAAACATTTCTGAACTTCTCATAGCTTTGTTCAAAGGCAGCAAGTCAGACTTTTATGTCTAGGGCCTTACCTACTGCAGGTAAACCAGTAGTGCTGTCAACAAAAGCAGAAGCTTTGGACAACACCACTAGCAAGTATTTCCTTTTCAACCATTGTGTTTTAGTTAATTTTACTGCCTGTAAATAACAGAACATCAATTTACCAAATTCTAGTTAGTTTCTAACCATTATCTTATTGCACAGCAAGCTCCCAGCAAGTCCTCTCGAAGACTTCTTCCTGCCAGACAGCAATAGGCAGCATTTTGAGGATGAATCTTCTGTAAGCAACAGCTGTCAGGAAGGTAAGGATTTTGTAGAAGTTTTGCCAGCGTCATTTCCTTTTTACTCTAAACCACGCTGCCACAAGTCCTACTCAAGCAAGTAGAATGGTATTTCAGTTTGCTTGTGAAAAATAAATAATCTTTTCATCATTCTTTAAATTATGCCTATTATGGAAGTTTTTAACCACACAAAAAAAAAATTACCTATAATTAAAGCAGTAAGTTTAATTTAGGCACACTGTACATCAAATACTGCAGGCAAAATAGCACAATAAAGAAGCCTCACAACAACAAAACCAACAAATTTCTTTTCAGTAAAAACTGTTAAGAAAAGATTGTGATCTATAAGTGATATATTAAAACATTTACAAAAGGGAGAACAACAAAACAGCAATTACTTTGCACTTCTGTGAAACTCGTGTAAAACTATAGAGCTGATTTCAGGGTAATGAATTGTGCTAATTACAGTCTCAATGTTGAATGTATCATTTAAAGAGAAGTGAATCCTTCTTTTTTGCCAATAGTTGTAGTTGCCAATAGTCCCCTTTTAACATGTGGGGTTTTTGTTTGGTTTTTTTTTTTACTATGGAATTACTTTTAAATGTCATTCATATATTCTTCATGAAGAACTGCTGGATCTGCACCACTTTCTTTTCTCTTAGAGGTGTTTAGCAAACAGCCATAGACACTTCTCTGTGGATTGGTCTTCTTTACTGTGACAGAACTCGGGGCACAAATACAGTTCTTGACAGCTCTCCTCCAAATAAAGCTTCTGGGCTCTCATCCTGGTCAGTCAGCTGGTGTCACATTACTGGCTTTTCTTCCCCCAGCACGTCAATTAGTTAAGATCAGCCTGTTCACATTGAGGCAGGTCCAGATAATGGGCTCCATTGCAATTCGGAGAATTATTTTTCTCCATATAACTATGCTTTCTTTGCACATATTAGTGGTGAATTTCAATAATCATCAATTGATAAGTATTAAGTTGTCATCACTTTGTTGTCTGCAAAACAAAAATTCACTCAGTAAAGAATAGAAATCATTTACCCATGCAAAAGTCAAGAAGAGTTTTGCACATTCCGCCCTGTGCTCTCCTATTTTCAGGATACAGCTCTCAACACACGCACAGTATGTTGACAATCAAACAGAAAATTGTTACAAAGCTACTTGCATTCCAGCTACTAAACTTCTGCCCTTACCACACTCTGCAGCATATTGCAGTAAAGCACATTTATTATGCTCAAGTAGATAATAATCTTGCACAGCAAATTGGATGTGAAATTTGAAGCCATACCTTGCTAGCATTCTGCCAGAGTACATCAAAAGTATGAAGCTGTACTTCACAAAAGCTTCAGTATGCAAGCAGAAGGATTTGTTACAGTAGATAGTACTCAAAAAGCTTTCACATTCTGCACTATTCCTTCTCCTATAGCCTTGGCTTTCCTGCCAGGTGGACTGTGCCCACAGCCATTGTGCACAAGTAATCAGGCACTCAGAGGTGTATTAGATTTCCTCAGAAAATAAATTAAAGAATAAATTTCCAAACCCGATGGATTTCAGAGGAGACATTTGTATCCCACCAAGGAGCCTCACTAAGATCTCTAAAGGCTTTAGTTCAGTGTTTCCAACATTTTGACAGATTATGTTTGCCTTACAAACATAACAGAGCTTTGGAAATAAGTACAGGTCCCTTGCTGAATCACATACTCTTGCTGTCTGCTACTTCCTCCAGCCTGGTGGAAAAACTATTTAGAAACAGAAGACTTACAAAACCCTAAGCTGCAAAGACTTAATTTGCTCCTGTCTTCTTGGCAACTCCACATCATGCTCTGCTTCCTGTGATCAACATCCACTGGTTTCTTCACAGTGATTTATGTATGAACAGAACACATCAAATGTGTTTAAACTCAATAATCTCCCTTTCACCATTAGCATTTGAAAGATCTAACACCAGGTAGAACACAAGAGGAATAAGTGAGTCCACGTATTGCATGGGTAGAATTCCAAGTGCTCCAACATTTGTTTAAAAGGACTTTGCAGTGAGAAACTAACCAGTGTACTTGCACGGATAACACATATCAAAAACACCCAACTGACCTTCTACAGCAGCAGATAAAAGGCATGGAAGTTTGTTCTTTTCTGTAAGAAACATTGCCACAGTCTTTTAGAAATTCATGTAGATCTGTTGCTAGAAACCCACTTTGTTGGTATTTCTGAAAAATAAAGCATGTTACTTACAACACATGAGAAGTTATCAGGCATTAGATGTTCTAAAGTCTCTTTTAGAGTACAAAAACCAGAAGCTATTTGGCTCATTAGTTTAATATGCTGTAAGAATTAAAAAAAAAAATATGCAATTCTATCCATAAACACCATATATGTAGTGAGAACAGAGTCAACTAAAAGTGATGTAGAATTCATATTGCTCAGAATCTCTTTTACGTTTGTTTACTGTCTGTGAGACCAAGCAAGCAATCTTTAGGCGTACTTGCATTGATTGTCTCTTGCTCCCATTAGCTACTGTGCTCACTGGGTTCATTTTCACTAGAAACTGCAGTTCTGAATTCCAGAGGCCCCACTGTGAATGTTTAGCATCACTATGCATAGGAAACGCTCTGCAAAACATTGGTTCAGCATATTGAAATGTTTCCCTATTGATACGCATTATGTGCTCAGGGGAAAGAGCAACAGTAAGGAATAATTTTGCAGTTCAGAGCATCCAATAAACTCAGAAGCACAGACAGTTAAGTTGTATTTGGAGATGCTTAGAAAATGGAGTTCTTGCTCATTCTTTAAACTGTGGTTCATTTCAGACCTGGCATTATTCTGCTGGCTTCTTTACCTAACTTAAGACCTGTGTAGTACTTTTCACATTTGCCTTCCGCTTGGTTACTGCAGCTACTGGGAGCAGGACGGGGAGTCAGCAGCAGAAAACAAGAACAAAAGGAAATGAAAACTCCCTTTCACTTTTAGCCCAAGATAGATTACACAAGTTTACCTTGCAGAAGTAGTGCTCTTGGTTAGGGGTTGTTTCTGTTTAAAACGAAAACAAAACAAACAAAAGACCACATTCCCCAGCAGCACATAACCTTGTCTGTATACTTATACAAGTTTAGAGCTACCTGTTTGGAACTAACCACATTCCTGCTAAGTAGCTTTTCTCACAGACACCAGTAAACCCTTCTCAAACCCTTCTGGTGCCATGAGAAGAAACACTGACTCCAAACAAGACATATCCAGTTCTGTGTAACCATCCTTACAATCTGATTCTTTCTACTCATCTTTCAAATACCTTCCAGTTATGTTTCCATTAGCTATCATCTTTTTTAAGCCAATTTCAGCAGCAGAAAGTACAAAACAAAAGCACACATTACAGTATTTTTACAGATTTCCCAAGCCAGTTATTGGTTAGTCACTTGGATGATTACCCAATCATCATCCCAGGCTAAGCTATACAGTTTTAATTTGCTAACAAGTCATCATAATTAATGCTGAATATTATGGGGCTGGGTGATGAACAAGAATGAATATGAAGCTGGTTAGAAATGCAATAGAATACTGATGTTTTACCTTTATGGTGTCATAGGCATCGGTGATCAGAGCAATAAAAAGGCTGAGGATCATGTATATAAACAGAATAATGAAGGAATACAGATATAACCGACTGAACGTCCACACCAACATGCTTTTCTGCTGGATTTGTGCAAACGTTGCAAACATATCATCACCATTGACCAAAGAAAACAAACACTCAGCTACTGTGTTCAGGTCTTCAAACTAGAAGATAACGAATACAATCTCATTAGAATTCAACAATCACTCATCCAGATTAAAGGGAAGATGAAAGTGCTATTACAAAAGTTTTTGTTTTTGTTTTTTTTAAGCAGGAAAAAAAAAAAGCCAGTTGAAACATTCCAACACTGTCATACTTTGTTTCTTTTCTGCACATTCAGACTGAACCATACATGTCAGGAATAATCATGATTATATTGCTACACAATTCTGAGCACTTTACACCAACACCAGAAATATAAGATTTATTCTCAAGAAATACCCTGCAATGCTCAACAGGTACAGCAGCCAGTAATTTTTCTCTGTAATGATCAGTTATTTAGATCTTGCAATAACATCATCTGTCATTCAAAAAGCCCTCTGAGCTGTAGCTAAAAGTTACAGCAACTGAGGAACTGTCTGGATAGAATTATGCTTTCATTTCAAGGATATTATCTCAAATATCTGAGATATTCCTTTTCCCCAAGTTCTGAAGCTAAAATGTCATTTAGCTTCTGCACAACAACCAGGTAAGTACACTTCCTCTCTGCCTCTGCAAATAACCAAGTCTGTTAGCAATACTTCGTGAGCCAACATGAGTTAATGCACAATGTTAAAACATTGCCATAACTGATGAAGTGACATGACTACAGTCACTTCAGTTGCAGTCCTATATTGAAATCAAGATGTCAAGATGCATACACTTATAAGGAATACATACTATTGTACAAGAACAACAGGTCTGGTCTTACTATTGCTCATTTTTCTTTTTCTTAAATTCTTTATTTTTAAATGTACTGCAAGACCCAGCAGCACATTTGTATCTAGGAAGACAAGGGGCATGGCACATGTAATTCTTGAGCAACTGCTGAGTTCTGATGCCAGAGAGAAGCCTGCTAAGCTGAGTTCAGCTGCAAGCCCTCCAAATCGTCGCTACAGTGCAAGCAGGATTTTTGCTCTCTCCCCTTGACTTCAGTAACAGAAGGGAGTTACTAGAAAGAAAACTCTGCCATACTTGTATTTTTGAACGAAGGTTTTCAGAATCTGAGAACATATATAGATCTTCTCTCCTCCATACATGCTCAGGTCAGAAAGGACAGTTTGCACAGCAAGCACACTGCCTGCCCCCAACCAGACTCTGCGCAGCACCACACTGCCTTCCAGTGGAGCTATGCAGAAGCATTCATAAACAACACCCAAAATCCTGCAGGGCTACAGTTGCTTCTCTCTACAAGAACCTGTGGAAGAGTTAACTTTCCACAGATATATTATTAACTATGCTTCTTTTTACTCAGGTAACCAGTGTATTTGCTGCAGAGGTTACAGGGAAGTAGAAAGAATAGCATGTGTGCTATGTCTCTCTATCATTACAAATAATTCTACAGCACATAGCATATCAGAGAAAGGCACTGCTATCAAGTTGAAATACATGCAGACTAAATGTTTCTCAAAAGAGAAAATTGCACCAAATTTGAGAAATTCAAACTCTGGGGGTACAAGAAGCTGAAGCAAGCACTGCAGCGTGCATCTTCACCACACTGTAATCAGAAAAAAACCCACAAGAACAAGAATAAGTCACACATTTGTTACTCATTAAGGGATAGTTACAATTGATCACATTAGCAATCTGCCCTTCTTTTTGGTCCCCCCCCCTCCCCCCAAAGAGTCACATTGAGCATCAACCATGATAAGAACCCCAAATTTACAATTGTTTTTGCATGTATTGTGAAATATACAAAGCTTTGCTACTGTACTCAGGTTTCTGACAAGAGGAATGCCCTAGGCAAACATTGCTTGCTTAAACTTAGTATCAAACAAAACATACCCTCATAGGAAGCAAAGTAAACACAGAAAAAGAAGTCATTCCTCCTTTTAAGTCAAGATTTAGTGGCTGTAGTTACATTGCTCAGGAAAAAAAAAAAAAAAAATAGAAAAAGTCAGTGAGATTCCCAGAAATGGTAGTAGTGAACTTCATCCCAAATGCACTGGAATTACCAGAAGAGGGCGAAAGAGAACAGAGAGATGCACCTTCAGCCCGAGCCAGACCCTGCCTGGATAGCACATCCAGGCACCATCGCAAACAGCCTTGCTTTGGAGATTACAGCTCAGTACAGTTTAGAGTACAGTTACTTTCTTAGAAGAAGCAGGTGACAGAAGGTGCACATGGGAGGAGAAACACAGCAATGTTATTTCATGTTTGAGCTTCTAACAACAACACACACACACACACACACACACACACACGAAACAGGTCTTAAATTTCTAACTAGGAGCAATACACAGACATATACACAGTTAGACCAGGGAAGAAATAATACTGCTGACATACCTTCTCATGATATGGTCCCAATACAATCCAACCACAGAAAGTATAGCCAAGATAAATCATCCCAGCACAACAACAAAACCTTAGCACTTTGGGTAATGATGCTTGCATAGTTAAAATGAGCACCTACAAGTTAGGGTGGAAGAAAGGAGAAGGAGAAAAAAGTTACACGTGAAAGAGACTTGAGTAAGAGCGACAGATATAAATTTTAACTGTTGAATATTTTATTTCATCCTTACATTGTAAGTTTGAAAATATCCCAGGTATCTGATGACTCCAACCCAGACAAATAAAGTTGATGTTCCAAGTAAAATGCTGCAGACATCATAACTTGTGAGATTCTGAGGGATCCAAAGAGAGCAGATGGTCAAGTTACAAAGTAAAAGGTATGTTAACTTGATGAAGTTTCACCAGGTCAGACAAATAAAGCAGGGCAAACCAGTATTGAATGGATGTTGCCACATCACTAAAATCAAACCAGAACAAGTTGCACTTTTTTTTTTTAGGGAGATCACCCAAGTACACTAGTGCAGTACGTGGAAGCACAACTACACCAACATTCTTGAAGTTTCACATGAAGCCCAGAAGAACTAGAGCCCTTACTTTGGTTACTGTATAGTTCTAAAATTGGACTGAATATCTCAAAAATTTCATTTTTAAAAAAGGTTAATGTGCACCATTGTTAGGCCAACAAGTTTTCATTCTCTATTTCATAATATGTGAGCCATCATTTAAATGAGAAGTGAACCTCAGGACTACAAGCCCCATCTGTGCTGCATGCATTAACAGATTTGAAAAGGTTGCCAGCTGTTTCAAACTAGAACATTTTCACTACCAGCAATGTTTATAACCAATTCTAGTCGCACTTGGTCTTAGCAGAAGGCTAGAACTGGTGACAATAAGTGCACAATATTCATCAAGTTCAAGATTTCCCATCCTCATCCCCCACCTCACCACAAAGCCAGACATTGGTATGTGCTTCCTCTGAAAGCCACTCTAAGCATTTGCCCTTTGAGCATTAGTACACATGAAGCAGCAACAGCACACTACCCCGTTTTTCCAGGATACAAAGTTTTGTAAACATGTGAATTGTTGACACAGTTTTTCCAATAAAGCTAGAAGCTATTCGCCAGACAAAACACATCAGTATCAGCAAGCTCAGATCTGGAGGTCAAGGACTAGCAGCTGACAGTGGCTATGCCTGTAGTTTGGGCAGTTCAAGACTACAGGCTACAATAGCCATGTTTGTAGTCTCAGGAAACAGACCTGCTGTATCTGAGGGGATGACTCCCGACTTCCTTGTGCAATACGCACAACTGCTTCTATTTGGCCCCATCCCTGGAGGCATTCAACACCAGTTTGGGTGGGGCCCTGGGCAGCCTGATCTAGTGGGTGGTAACTTTGCCCATGGCAGAAGGTGGGAACAAAATGATCTTTAAAGGTCCCCTCCAACCTAAGCCACTCTATGACTCTTAGAGGAATAAGATAATGCAAGGCTATTAGTTAGGAAATGCCTACACACAAGTTCTAAACCAGGAATTAGGGGATTTAGCACTGTGGAAATAAGAGGTTTAGATAGCTTACATGGTTTTGCTAAAAGACTTTGTAGACAGGGAACTGAAACTAGTTATTAGTCAGAATAGCATAACACAGCATTCATTTTATGGTTAATGCTCACATATCCTTTTTGATGGACGGAAGAATCCCATCATCACCCATAAAAGAGGTGTTCAGAAAAAAGCATAAGCCCAAGAATTTGATGCTACAAAAAAAAAGTCTCAAGTGATAAACACACAAAGCCCCAGATGGCTGCCTGTATTCCAGTACAGCTATCAATGACGCAAGACAAATAAGAGCTAACAAAAAGTAAACAAGATGACAAGTGACTGCTGCAGCTCACTTTCATTTGTTGCCAAGTTAAAAACACATTACACTTGATTCTAATGAGTCTAGTACTTTACCTAAAGCACCTCTCACCTTGGCTTTTATCTCCATTTTTAAGATTGACCCAGTGATCGTCATCACGTCGCTGATAATTACCAGGACATACCAGCCATTTATGAACTCCATGCGATCAGTGTAACTGACACAACGGTTGTATTTCTCCAAGAAGAAGTTAACAAATCTCTGTTGAGAAGCATTTATGTGTTCAGTTACAGGTCTCCTTGCAAGAAAAATATGTATAGATGCCTCAATACTGTAGCAATACTCAATATTCACATTCCCACTTTTTGCCCACAGTATTTGCTAGAATAACAGTGTAAAGAAAAATCATCAGCAATAGCAACAGAAATGAAGAAGGGAGGAAAAAAACATTAAAACTGGTTTAGACCAATGAAAACCAATTTTCCACAGAACAGCTGACTTTGTAACTCATCCTTACTAACTTAGCCATGGCTTGTTAACCTCTTTTCAACCTCCTGCACAAGCAGTTTCTATCAACCCCCAAGGGGAGTAAAATAAGAATTAGCTGTAGTTCAAATAGAGGCGTAAGGCTATTCTCACTTCCAATAGAGCCAACAAAGTCACATCCTGCATCACACTGTCTGCTCTCACTTGTTCTTTTTGCTCAGGAATAAATGCCCTCGAGAGAGGCAGTAATAGTAATAGTTCATATTATAGTACTACACAGTCTGAAGTAAAACCCCTTTCTGCCTTTAACTGTTCATCATAGACACTTCCACATCCCTTCTAGAGGCAGAGATGCAGTAAGTGCAAGGTTTTGCAACAGATGAGCTAGTTGATAGTTCAAAACATTACTACACAAAACTAGCAAACATGATAGAAAAAAAAAGGAACATTGGTATTATGAGCACTACACTTACTTGTCGTAGTCTCAAGGCAAGAACAACGGACCGTGAGCAGAGGATGAGAGATGCTAAGCAATTTAAGATGACAAATCCATCAAAAACTAGGATATACAAGCTGTTTTTCTGGAGAACTGTGAAAAGTCAAGGAAATAAAATAGATTTTGTTTTGTCACATCTCTTTAAGCACATATTGTTACAAAACATCACCTATTTTGCATTTAAACACTCTCATCCCATGAAGTAATGAGATTTAAAGATATTCCTTCCTGAGCCAATATGTCTGGAGCACAATTACCTGGGTCACAAGAATGAAAAGCATGTTTGAATTTTTCAAAATTAATAAAGTATAATCAAATTATATTAATGCAGACATCCTTTTTTTTCCCCCATTAAGGTCATCTGTCCATCTTTGTGCCAAGTATTTACATAGGGTAAACACATCTCAACATCCTTAAAAGCCAATCAAACAAAACAAAACAAAAAAATCCCACCTCATTTCTCATTCCCTACAGCCACAAACTTGTTTGACTTTCTGCACTGTGTTCTTTCTATGCACAGGTTTAGAACCCCAGACACATGTTTTCCTTAGTTTCACTCTCAGTTTTTCCTAACAGTTTCACAACACAGATGTTGAACTAGACAAGATATAGTTAAAAGAACTGCTCTTCATCATTGTACATAGTGTTTTAGCTCGATTTTACTACCGAATTTTGGATGGTCCTTCAGTTGGTTATTCCATGTAAATAAACTACTCTAGACAACTAGCTGAAAGAGAGCTGCCAAGAAATTGCTGTACATAGATGCACACCAGAACATTTGGTGGTTACTCAGAACATACCAGATACCACTCTAATATCAGTTCAACATGCTATTATCAGAGAAATGTTGGCTTTCACCAAGCAAAAAGCGAGCTATTTGACATTGCCATTCACTGAGATCCTATGTAGGACATAATAAAATTATCACTCTGCCACAGCCCTTTACAGCAAGTTTAGAGAAGTAGCTGCATAAAGTACAATACAGCGACTATTCCTGTGAAGCAGGCTTTAATACCCAAGTCTCAGCCATCAGATAAAGCCTTCACAATAGAAATGTAGATATCATCCTTGCTAATATATATCATTAAATTTAACCACAACAGAGCAGAAAAAAAGTAAAAGTAGCATGCTTCAATTACTCAAAGAGAGATACCTTTGAAAACTATGAGGCTTCAGTTGGGAATTTACCATTGTTAGTACATTTAAGTGAACTATTCAAATAATCTCAGAGCAACAGAACAATTAAAATCCTCCTTCCAGATGGAGTCTAATGCTGACACACACCACACCACTATGCAGAGATGACTGTTAGCTCAATACCCTTACAGAAAAGAATGATTTCCCAAAACATAATTACAAAAAGGTAATGAGTTGTATATTAGGCAAGGCTTTTTGATGTCGGGGCAGTGAGTGGGCAGGATGAACAGTACAGAGACAGTCTTGTTATACTGACTCTTTCAGAGCAGGGAAAGTGTTGGGAAAAGATGGGTAACACTGCCATCACAAATAAGTGTGCACCATACCTACCAGAACTAAGTATGTGCCATTCTTTGCATTCTTGAATATCAGTGTCACTATTAAAATAGATTTTGATTTTTCCACTGTGAGCTCTATTGTTGAAAGTAATCTGGAAACATAGAAGTATATCAGAAAGAAGACTAGCAAAATTTACTTTATAAAACAAGTCTTGCTAAGTGTTTTGACATAACATACACCAGTACTTGTTAGTCAGGTAGGTTTTAAGAAAGCTGTCACTGTAAACAGTGTAGACATTTGAGAATATGTACTCAAAAAGGACAAAAGCAGTGTTTCAAGAAGTCAAATATCAGATTTAACCTTTAGAACGCTAACAACTACATATCCTCTTCTCAGGCTGTGAAATTACCAGCTGGAAATAACATTGGCCCATGGAAACATCTTGAATAGCCTTAGGTTAGAAGAGGAAAGTAAGGACCAGGACATGCTCAACTACTTTTCCCTTGCAGTCTAGACATAAGGATGATGCTTGTGGGCCCCTAAACTCTGATTATATATACAGTGTTGGAAGTGTCATACTCCATACTCACAGTATTTTGAAATGCATAGCAGTCAGGCAATTCACGGGCATGGATTGTTTGTAGGGCAACACCTTTCAGCTTGAAGGAGATTTTAACCTGTATAAGCCTAAATGTTTTTAAGAAGTGTATAAATACAAATGCACAAAGGATAGAAACTGCAAAAAAATGAAATAAAAAAAATCCAAACCCATCCAATTTACTTAAAAGTGAAGAAAAAAAATCCTCAAAACATTCTCCCCCCATCTTCCCCTCCAAACTAGTTTACCTGTAAAATTCAAGGTTGAAGAATGAAGAGTTCAAGTTCACTTCAGTGTTCTTACTGGCTAGCTCCTGGGGCTTTAAGATAATACAGTCTGTGTGTGTGGGGGGGGGGGGGGAAGAAAAAAAGAAAACCTGCGATGTTAAATAATGTTAAAAATTTCACCTAGAAAGAAGCATAGAACCGAGACAATCAGTTTCAATCACAAGTCCTAATCAAACAAGTACTCAAACAGAGCCCCAGCTCAGGGGACCACACAGCAGCTGAAGAGAAGCTTTAGCGAAATCCCTGTGCCATGTGGTGGTACAACCAACCCACTGAAGTTACAGCCTTACCTGTGAACACAGATCTATATTGGAACATTTCAAATGGGATGGAAATTTAAAAAACAGAACAAACAACACCCCAAAACCAGGGGAAAAAACCCACAACCTAATGATGACAGCTGAACAGCCTCCTAGAAAGTAAGAAGGAAGGAAGAAAAAACATTAATTTTCCTGTCATTTTCATGAGAAAAAAATAAAGGCTATTATAATAGTATTAAAATTTAAATACTTCACAATAAGACACTTTTTAGTACAACGGTATCATACCTGTTTCTGTAGAAACATCTATGTTTGGCTTGTCATCGGAAGGAAGCATCCCACCTTTCCTGTACTGTTGTTTACAAATTTTTAAGCCTGATCCATCATGTTCGTAGCCAAGCGTCCCCAGGGATATGTTCTTTAATTGTCTGTACTAGTTTAAAAGCAACACAGTACCAGAAGTTAACAGATATGCTTGCCCTTTTGCAAGAGACAATAACTTGCAGTTACTTGTATCAACATAACTTGATAAGAGACACTCAACTAGAAGACTTGTGTGAAAGAATAGATTTTGGAAAGTTAAGACCGCTGGCCACTAACAAGTAATACTTGGCATGCTGGTTACACAGTGGCTGGGTGCCCCATACCCACCAGAATGCCTACAAAAAAAAAGACTACCCCTTGTCTGCTGGCCATTTACCAGCCAAGTTTTGTTAATATGTCTGGTAGGGACTTCAGTGCAGTCCTGCAACTAACCACACAGACACCAGGGATATCTTACAAATTAAGCTCATGAGGGTATTCATTTCCACATCGCTTGGAACTTCAAGACCTTTAGTTCAAAATTCAACACATTTTAAGAAATCCGGTACTGTATAAATTAAATTATTTTTCTATCTTCAACTCAAATGCCAGTGTGACAGCCAGTTAAAAGTACAACACTAAGAAATTTTAAGACTCACATGACCTATTTATGATTCAGTGTTAAGACCTAAATAACCAGTAAGCAATCTGCAGAGCTCCACTCTTTTTCTACTGTAATCTCTTCACTAAAGCAACCATCTAGTAGGCAGAAAAATTGATGTACCTGAATTATGACTGCCTCTCTGAAGAGGCTGGGATTAGAAGTACATACAACCCAATTCAGTTTTCATTTTAGTCCATAAAATCCACTCTAAGAGCAAAATCAAAGCTATGCCCTGTGTGACTACAGAAAAGCAAAGCCTTCACTGTACATCTTGAAAGCATGGAGCATGCACAGAGCTTGGGCAGCCTCCAAAAACAATTTAACTTGCCCACTTCACACAAGCACAGAGGCAACTCAGAGCATGTCTGTGAAGAAGGTACTTTCTTTCTCCCTTATTCTAAATACAGCTCAAGCCACCTGGAAGGCATTACTGTGCTAGTTTCTTAGCATGAGCTTAAAAACAAGGGCTAGAAATGCAAGTAAATAAAGCAGTGTCAAGTCAAGCATTCTCCATGCACAGATCCACTGAAAAACAACAATAACCATTGTGGAAACCTAGCTCAGAGCAGCTCAAGGACAGGCCCATGCGCCAGCCCATCTCAGCACCAGCTGGCAGCATGCAAGAGTAGCCAGTTAGACCAGGGGCCCTTTAAGGAAGGAGGCATAAACAGCTAGTAATTCATTAGGTTTTAATAATTACCTCACCAAGCACTTTTGCTTAGGGCAGCACACAGCACCAGTTAGCTCTGAAAGACACATTTAGCTTCCCAGGAGGCTCAGGATAAATAAACACGGGAAGTCAGACAAGGCTTCCCTTCTCTTAAGGATTTTGTTCGGCTGGTTTTGATACAAATTATATTTTTTCCCTCCTTAAACACCAATTTTTTTTTTAATACGCATCGCTTGCTGATGCACTTTCTCCTCCTTCCTATGGGCATTTTTCCCCACTGGCCCATCACATAATACCACTCAGTGGTCACTAAGAACTGCACATGGCGTGTCCAAGGACTGTCCTCATACAGAGCTCTGCTTTGCATTGCTGCTTCCAATCCCCAATATGTTTGAACAACCAGGAGGAAAAGCCACCCTCTGTACCCAGTCAGAATATGACTGTAACTCAAACTGAGGAAGCCAAGTCTGATTAAGGCAGGTCCAGCGAACGGAAACAGCCATTAACCACTGCTTCACATTCTTCTCAGGGCATCTCCAAGTCATTGAATCTAGCAGCTGTGACTCTGTTCACATATGTTCTCAGACCCTGTTTCTCTGACAGGGAAACACCTGGCTCTGAGTTGCACACACACACCTTTCAATAAGCGCCATAGAACAGTATAAGTAAAAATTTCCACTGTTACATTTCAAAACAGCCAAGACAGAGCAACGAGCAGAGTACCCTGCTCCTCCAGACCCACTGTGCAGCTGGGTGTGCACAGCCACTCCACTGGCTTCTTCATTGCAGAAGCTTCCAAACTGGGCCAAACACAGGAGTACGGAAAGCTGTGCACTCTTCCAAGAGCAGATGCCTGTTGTATTTTTCTTATCCCAACCAAGTGTGAAAATATCCCACTAATACACATATAAGCTTAACATTCACTAAGATTTTACAGCTTCAGTTGTAAATAGCTGCATGTTATTATAATCTTCTATAATACCACATCCTTCTATTTGCCCTTCCCCATTCAAGGTTCACCTGAAGTCAGTTTTTAAAGACTTGCACAGGATAATAAGCTTTGGAAACAGCACAGGCCACTAAATAACCCAGATCACACATTTTTTTAAGCTCCTTAAACAACTCATCTGCATTTATACAACATAGACATATTATGAAGAGACCTTTCCTGATGCCTGTATCATACACTGACTCATCCTTGAGGACATAAAGCTATTCTTTCTCTTTTGTCTTCTATCTGGACTTCATCTCAGCTTTAGTGCCTACAAAAGAAGGAAAGCAAGAGAAAGCAAGCAAGGAAGTAAAAACAGTATTGTAGAAATAGAAGCAACATTGAGAATTCAAAGGAGGATTGAGAAAACTACTGCAACACTCACTTTAACATACCAGGAGACAGAGTTTAATCCTTGCCCAGCAGAAGTACTTCGCATCTGTTGATGGTTCTGCTGTAGCCTACAGATATCCAAGAAGCAGCGAGTCCCCACAAGAGGGCATTTAACAAGGAGGCACAGCCTTCACACACAGCATCCCTATGTGCTGCTGGGCCCAAGGCAGGGGAAGGGTGAAGTGGTTTAAAGCTACTTAATGTTCATGCCATTTGAACTGAGTCTGGGCCCACGACCATCCCAAATGCAGGAGTCTGGTCTCATTTTACACACAGACAACCTCTTTCATGACTCTTGGATGAACTCAAATATAAAAATATTCACTGAATTTTCATCCTAGATTTATTCACCTTCCTCCCACAATTGTAAAGTAGCTGCTCGTCAAAGTACTATCCTTAACCAGTCCCCCTACATTCCTGAAAGTGCCATATTCCTCAGTTTGAGGCCTCTGGCACTGCTACAAGGCTATGATTCAGTGTAGCTGTAAGCAGAAAATTTTTTGAATACCATGCATAGGTATACCCAGGCCCCTAGCTCTTCAACTAAGACCTAAACAAAAGCTGCAGTTCATGGAAGATGACTGATTTTCAAGCTTCCTGGATTTCAGCACTAAATGAATAAATGTTTGTCTTGGACTCATCTTCAGGAGACAAGAATGCAGACATCTACACACAAGCTTTGTGACACCCACCTAAGGGGACTCACCAAAATATCAAAGTTGAAATTCAAATGGAAACTGAAAAATAGAAGCGTAGTAAAAATCTACTAGTATTATAAAATCAGTCAGCTTTAATACTCTTCATTATAAACAAATACACTTACCTGATCAATAACATAAAATATGCTGTCATAAGCATCCTGTTGGGTATATATGCTGCAGCTGTAGTCATCCTCATCAACACCAGAATAGCCTTTCAGGAACAGGTGTTTAAAAGCAACAGTGTTCTCCTCTTTGAACGAAACCACCAACTGGTTACTCAAACCAAAGAAGACAAGCTGACAAGATAAATACAAATTGAAGTTTTGAATGCTGTTGAAGCAGCAACATTTTGGGAGCCATTTGAAAGTTTAATAAATAATATGTGTAATATTAATAAAGTATTAATATTACACTTAAAGTAAAATATTACACTTAAAGTAAAATATTATGACACTTAATAAAGTGTAATAAATACAAAATAGAAGAGTGTGTGTTACTGAAATCCTGCTACAACAGGAACAGAGAATCTACCTATTTACAATACCAATTAAGGCCACAAGGCTAATAGAGTCAAGGTTACCATATGCTGAGCATGAAAAACAGAAATCAGTAAGATCTACTGATTTCAAAATTTTGAGTGCAGCAACTAAACAGAGTACTGGTCACTGCTTTGTTTTATGCATCCATTACCAGCAGCTCTATCTGGGATCTGCCACAGTTTTTGTGGATGATGCAGAGGGCAGAAAAGCAGCCTCCTGGCCCAGAAATGTCCTGCTTTGCCCCAGGACAGCAGCAGTTCCTGAGCAGAGTATACAGCTAGGGAAAAGTGTTACAGAACCCCAGAGCAATAAAAAGCATCAGTCCCTGAGCCTGGCACTGCTTAAGAAAGGTATAACAAGAAGTAGCAGCAGACAGCAGTTACTCCTCAGGATTTGCATTGACTAACTGTATGGATGCCCCATTTCCATCCACCATGGAAAATAAACAGCCTAGAAGTTAAAAATCAATCTAGAAACAAGATTTTCTTCATGAATATAATATCTGGAGGATATCCCAGGCTCCAAAAAGCTAATTATCATCCCAGCTTAAAGTGAAACTGACACATTACTGTATGGAGTTTCCAAGAAGCAGAGAAGTAGAAAGAGAAACTGCAAGCAAGGGAACCATGAACTCAGAATTCCCCCAAAGCAAGCAAGCAGGCTCCACTAACATTCAGATTTCTGCACTGAAGGTAATGGAAATCAAACACCCTTCACTGGGATTCTTCAACTGTTGTCTTAGGCAGTAATTGCTTAGACTGGGGACAGGCTACAGGGATACATGCAGCAGTACTGTTTAGACCAAGGCCTTTTAGTTGCATAGCAAAGCCATGACCAGGACAAAGAAAAGGGGATGCCAGCAGTGCCTGGTATACATTACCTTTAGATTAAGTACTGAATCTTCACACTTTTAGCCAATTTCTAAATTAGTTGCATCTTCATGATTGTAAAATTATTATCTGAGTGCTACAAATGAGTCTGCTGCACTCTACTTAGGATAACTGGAAAAGGATCAGGGGTCTTCCAACCGCAACACAGAAAACAAGCATACACAGCAGGGTTTGCTCAGGGGACTCCCCAGGGAATTTCAGCACAGCTTTAAGCAAAGCTCATTCTCCACACTGGAACAGAAGTAACAGAGCACTGTTCTACTCATAGAGGGCCATGAGTGGCTGGGACAGCACCTTCAGTGCATTCCCCAGGACTCAGCCTGAAGGCTAGGACAGTTTTACTGACTCTGAAGGGTCTTGTGAAGCTATAATGCCTCATTTTTCAACTGGAACAAATCTCATTTTTCATCTGGTCATATCTAAAAGGATCAACCACTGTAGCCCATTCCAACCTGCAGCCCAAGCTGTACTGGGACACCAGGTCCACAGCAACGAGGCCAGAGACTTCATCCAATCTTTCTAGCAGGGATCTCGAGGGTGGAAGAACTCAGCAGAAGGCAGGGTCACATAAGCATGGTAGAGCTTTGTCCTATCACGTAAGCCAAATACCAGCCTGAAATTCTCTAGCTCAGTGAGTTTTAAGGAGTTGTATATTTACTTATACTTGCAAAGTGTCAGGCGTCAGTGTCCTACATTTCAAAGGTCCGGAAAAAAAACTACTGATAGATTTTTCTACTCACACACCTGTCCTGTTTTGCTTCCCTCACTCTCTAGTCAGCATTTCTCAGTGGACTGCAAGATAACCAACCACACCATGATAGCAGTGTTGTTCAAATACCTGCTCTCCTTTGCCTCTACTTACACTGTCCATGGACTGTTTGAAACACAGAAGCAAGAGACATGTCTGATTTCAACTGCCCAGCCATCATCAGGCAGACTGTAGCATTTTCACATTGAACACTTATACTTGATGTTCCTGGCTGCATTATGAAAACCATCCCTTTTGAAATGGCCCAGAGAAACAATTATATATGAATGAAATAGGAAGCAGAACATGCAGCAGTACTGCAGCAGCAAGCACTTGCTAAGGTCGTGCTGGTTTTCGCGGAAAGGATGAGTCATTTGTTTTAAACCATTACCTTAGAAACTGCTAATTAGCTGGTCAAACACTGCCCCAAAACCTTCAGCAGGCATTTGTAATTTAGGTTATGTTATCTTTCCCCTTCCATACATGCCTTTCACAGCACTTTTTTTCTTTCAGGACAGGAGCAGCAAGCCTAAGGCAGTAAGGAATATCTGGGGATGGCAGAGTGCAGGACCACAGACCTGTTTCTCCTGCATGACATCACTATGCTTTCTAAGAGTAACAACAAGGTAAAGATTACCTGAGAGGTCACCATAACTATCTTCAAAATCTGCAAAGCCAGCTTCCATGGTATCTGGTGTCTTGCTCTGTATTTGTCACAGGGGTTCATGAAGTAAAACTTCAAATCCTCTTTTAGAGCCGTCTCTTTTAGATCTAAATCTGACTGAGCCATCATATTTCTGCCATATAAACAATATGTTAATTAGAAATCAGCAGAATGCTTCAGCAAATGTTTTCTTCATGTTGCAGTTTCACCTTAGACACTCACATACATTAAAGGTCTGTGAAGTTTTCAGTGTTTTGTCTTAAAACAGCAGAAGTTAAGAAGCATTTCCCTTCAATCACATCATTAAAATAATTCAACGGTAGCAACAGCTATTTCCCAGGAAGCAGTCATTAGACAGAACACTTAAGAGTAGACTTGGTACAGTTGTTATCTGCTTTTTAAGGCTGAAGCTTTGGGATAAGCAGAGGCTGCTGTTAGCACCTCCCTGAACAACTCACATTTCACCACCAGAAACAAGTGCTGAGAAAAGCTGAGCACAGCACACTGGTGTTATGAACACACCATTTTAAGGGTTAAAGTCACAGATATTTATTTATTTAAATACTTACGCATGTCATATATACACACATACATTAGAGGAACAAGCACAGAAGGCTGTTGTAGAAGCCTAGAATCACCAGATATTTCTCCTTCCCAACCAAATGCCACATTGGAAACTTTCCTTCTCTCCCATATTTCCAACCCCCTTTTCAAGGGCTGCAGTTGTCAGAACTTCGTCACCCCACACAAAGGTCAGAACCAAACAGTTATTGGTTGTAGGGAGAGAGAAGTTAAAGCAGAACAAGTGCATCAGAAGCAGCCGTGCATGCTAGTTATCAGCCACATTAGCCATCCTCCAAACTACTCCCTGTGATCTGAGCTTCATAGAAGTAACCACTTTCTCTCCAGCTCAAAATAAAAATTAAAACAAACAAACAAACAACTCATTCCAAGTTTTCAAACGCATTTTTACTTCTTTATTCTCACCTACCTTAGTATTACTGCCTGAACTACAAGCTATGAAGCACATGTGGTTTGCTAGGACCAGCAGCCTCCCAGCAAGAGAATGAGCTGAAGACAGCCAAGGCATCACAGTGCTGTTCCCCCACAGGAGGAAGTGAAAATTAATTTTAACACTCAGATTTCAAATGTTATCTTTATTACACTTTAATCAATCATTCACAAAGATGACAGGAGGTGGGCTGCCTTTGATTGTGAGGCAGGGAAAGCACAGGAAGGCTTTTAAAAAGAAAACTTGAGGAGTACAGCTCTACTTAGCCTTTTAGGAAAAAAACAAACATTACTAAAGCTAGCCCAGTGTAAGAGAGAAACTTAGAAGAAAAAAGACCATCTGACAGAAAAACACATCATAATTATAGCTGGGAGTACTCTCTAGGGAGCAAGGCACATTTGCATTGTAACCCAGCCCTGACACCCCACAACTGCTGCCCTGTGCCAGATTCTCTTCAACAGACAGAAGCAGCACTGCTACGCACGCATGACGATGAGTGAGCAAGACCCAGCCCAGGCTAGAAGCAACAGGAGCAGGTGGGAAGGAAATAGGATGCAGGCTTAAGCTGGGTCTGATTTAAGTTTAAAGCATGAAAGCGTGACAAAACTTCTCCAAGACAGAAAAATCCTCCCCTAGACCTCCAGTCAAGGCATACCTGAAGGATCAGCCCTTAACTCAAACGACAAGCCTCCTGACAAGGGCTATTTTCTTAGAGATTCACATACATACCATAAAAATACGGTGGGATTTTTCAAAGCCGACTTTCAAGCCCCTGCATCTACCCTAGCAGCTTGACGAACAGCAAACTTTCACTACTGCACAGCTTCACCCAGCGCACAGCTGAGAACCATCGGCGCTGCCCTCAGCTCCCTCCGCGGAACAGCTGCGGAAACCCCCAGCAGGACAAGCAGCCGAGGGCAGCACGCGGTACGGTGCAGCACAGTGCAATACAGTACGGCACGGCACAGCCCGCTATCGCCCCGCGCCCTCGCCCCCCGCCCCGGGGCCGCGCTGACCCCGCTCACCCGCAGCTGGGCGCCCGCCCACCGGGCAGGCACTTGAGGGAGATCTCCATGCGGCGTGGGTCGCGCTGCCCCCGGCGGGACGGACGAGGGCTGCTACAGAACGACCAACCTCCACTGCACAACCCCAACCCACCGAACCGCGGCCCCGCCTGCCCCTTAAAGGGCACGGGCGGAGGAGGGCGCGTCATGGGCCGGGCCCAAACGACCCGAGCGGCTATTGCCCGCTGAGAGCGGCTATGATGAGCTCCCATCAGCGCCCGGGCACCTGCGAAGCCTTGGTATGGAAGTCACGGCCCAGCTCTTAGCTCGATGTGTTGAGGAGAAAAAAGATTTAAAAGCCCCTCCACCTATACCGGGTCTTATACATGCACATTCTTACACTGCATGTTGTCAAAGACCTGAAAGTGTCAACAGAACACATGGTTGCTTATTGTTTGCCTTTCAAGGCCGGGATGCCAAGAACCTCCTTGAAAAGCTTCAGAAGTCCACAACCTCGAGCGGCTGTCAGAGAAGTTTCAGCACAAAAACGCATAGTGTAAGGCTTTGCACTCACTTATTGCTTCCCATGACACTGCACAGCTGTTACCAAGAGCCAGGGGAGACCAGCTCCTCACTGTGGCACCCAAGAAGGAGCCTGGCTCCAGGCAGTGCACATCTGCACGCTGTATGTACTGCTTCAGAAATTACACAATGTACAATAGTACATATTGTTCATTTTTAATCTTATATGTTAACCTGGCAAAATATTTACTCTTGAAATGACCACCCATACACACAATAGTTATCGCAACTGCTGGTGTTTATTGTAGTGCATTTGCAGTAGGTAAACACCCAGACAAAAGGTGTTTAGTATCCACTGTGTTGGTGTGCAGCATACAGAATTTCATTGCATGATTTCACACACACTTAGGGGATTGTTGCTTAAAATGCAAGTTACCTAAAATATGCTTTCCTTTGTTTTTACTATTCTGCTCCTATAGTGAAGAGACTATAGGAAATAAGGCATACATTGCACGCTACCACAATGAGCAAACTATATAAACAAAGTTGACAAAACTGAACTTGTGTAAGATCTAATGTTCTAGACAGCCACAGACAGTACCAGGTCATACAGCTTGATAGGAAACATCAGTTTCTAATGTGTGGTGAGATATGACTCTCAGAGCCTATGTCTTTACCTTAGTCCAGGCTTACAGACTGGTACACTAAACGAAGCTCTCTACCTAAAAATAAATACTTCAAAAGTGCTTCTGCCTGACTATCCCTTAAAAAATGTAAGGTTCAGCAACTGCTTAGCAGAATGCTGTAAGGGACTCTGGCTGGGGCTGGATGTGGGACATCCACATCTCTCCACTCACCTCACCCCTCCGACTTCATTTCCAGCCTTTCATGTCCTCACCTCTCTGAGAGGAGACTGCTATGTTTCTCACATGGTGCTACTCTTCATACAAATGTTTGGTTGATGCTCAGAACCATATTTGAATGGCTTGTGCATCAATCCACTGTACTGTCTCCAGAAACAAGTTCCACCAAATTTCATAGGTTTAGGGTTTTTTTTTTTTTTTTTTTTTCATGAGTATTACAGATATAGAAAACTGCTGAGGGCACCAGACTGCTTTAATTCACTCAATGCATGAGAAAGAATGCCTTTAGTAGTGAGGGCTAGTTTGATGCTCAAAGTCACTGTTGTCTGACACTATATCTTTGTGTTGAAAGTTACTGCCTTCCTAGTCTACCCATGTAGTCTAGCCAAGTCTGAACACAGACAGCTTGTTAATGCGCTTCGCAGTCTAGAAAATTTTAACTGAGGAAACAAATAGAACAAAGCCAAAAAACAAACAAACCTGAGCTAGAAGTGAGAGCGCCTGACCAGAAAGGCTGTAAGTGTATCACAAGCTTTTGCCACAGGTTTACACTGGTTTGGGGGAAAAGCATTTAGATTTAGGGTGTAAGATTTTCCACCAGCTCTATACTACCCACTTCCTGCAATGTGTGCTGCTTCAGAGCCTCCATGGTATGCTCCCACAGACCATCAGATATGTTCACTAGGACCTGTGCAGGAGAAGGGGAAAAAACGTCAGGTGCACACACCAAAATAATTGTTAAATTGTACAGGAAGCCTTAGAAATATATCTGAACTATCTAATTATGTATCTGCCTGGTAAGAAATGACCATGAACCATCTTAAAACATTTTTAACATGTGAAAGACTTAGGAGGAGCCCATGTGTATTGCAGGGCCACATGACTATCAAAGGAACAGAAGCTGTATCATCTTTACCACTTGAGATACTTGTTTGTTCCCACAGATCATTGTTTCAAAGTAAAGCCAGAAGGACACAAAACTAAGCTAAGGAGCAATGTCACTAATTCTAGGCAACTGCAAAGTCAGCCCCTGGTCTAGCTTCCAGGGACAGAATCATGCTACTTCCAGATATAAGCAGTTTGGAGCACTAACGTGCATAGCATGAGGAGCACAGACAGATCACATTTGCCACCAAAATAAAATAATTAAATAATCAGTTTGGAAATAGGGGTCCAAAACCAGGTACTTTGATGCCTGCAGCTCCATTTGCATCCAGGGCTTTGCAAGCTGCCCAGTCCTCCTGAAGAACAAGTTGCTTGAGAGCAATCAGGTTTTAACTTTCAAATGCTTTTCTAGAGATCTGATCCCTGCCTTGTGTTGAGTTTCTTGCCTGACTACACCGAGAGATGTGCACAGAAAAGGAAATATTAACATCAGCGCCCTTTACCCAGGAGCAAGAAGGCCTGCTCCACTTCATCCCACACTTTCATCCCAAGTGAGGCAAACGGTCGGAACAAGGGCTCTCAGCTCTAGGCGGTGTTGCTGCAGGCTCTGCTCTGTCCTGGCTCCAAAACATGCCCCCATCTCCTCTCCTTCATAGATACGTGACAATTAACGACACATCACACTCAGAAAAGCCCATAACAAGGAGATGCAAATGTCTTGGATCTTTTTAGGAAGCTGCAAGTGTTTAAGGCTCCCACACCAAGGGGCCCTTCTGCAAGCAAGGCTCAGAGCTGCAGCCAGCTGGGTTAAATATAAACCACATATCCTGCAATTGGTAGTCCTGAAGAAACAAAGTGTTAAGTAACTGAAGCATTACACTCTCCGTAGTGGAAGTTAGGCAGTCCTTTTCTAGGTGCTGTGATAATGATACTTAAGCTGTGTGCTATTTTAAAATCTTTGCAAGCTGATTTTTTCCAAAAGTTTCTGGCCTGCTACCATCTAAATTTGCAAACCTCTGGGTAAAGTATAATTGAAAAGGGGATAAGGGAACACAGAATGAGTTCAGCAAGTCCCGACTGTTGGTACAGAAAGAATTAATATTTGCACATGACACATACAGGGTTCCCAGGTTACTGTGTGTATTTACAAGGGCTGCTCTGAAAGTAATGCCTCCCGTTTTATTATGTTGGCCCACAGTGTCAATCAGATGTTGGTGGGATGACAGTAATGGTTGAACCCTCCCACCAACATGCTGTTACACTTTGTTTCTGTGTGATAGATGGCAGCAGAGGGGCAGTCTGGCAGAATGGCAACTGACATGGAAGCGTGTATGAAGCAAAGGTGTGTCACTGAAATCCTCCTTGTGGAAAAAAATGGCACCCATTGACATTCATTGATGCTTGCTGAATGCTTATGGGGACCAAAAAGCAGATGTGAGCACAGTGAGGCAGTGGTTGGTGTTTTAGCAGTGGCAACAGTGACAGACTTTTCACTCCAGCGTTTCATTATAAAGCATTCATTATAGAGCAAATAGTATTTTATTACTGCAGTGTTTTTTTTTTTCCCTGCCCCCTCCCCCAAATCAAGTATGCTTCATAAACATTACATCAGGGATATTTTGTGGTGTGTTGTATTTGCGTATGCATTCATGTATAATTTTAACATAGGTACTTACCATTACAACAGCAGAAGAGAGATACAGAACCTTCCTCTTCTAATCTGTACCTTCCGGAGTTTGGTAAGTCTTTGCACTGTGATATAAATCTCTGAAGTTCTGTCTCTGGAAAGCCATCTTGTTGGTAGTGCTAAAAATTTATATTTAGTTAAACCTTTAACAAGGCTAAAGCACAGAATAGCCTAAAGCTATAAGAACATAAAATAAGACTTGCCTCCCCAGACCACTTTTCAGGTATTATTCAAGCATGAAATTAGAAGATTCAGAGAACTGAATATGAAATTTCTACTTTTTAGTTGATAATAAGCATCCATTAGGAGAGGAAATCAGATATGCTTATAAGAAAACCAAAGTCGGAAAGAATTAAAAATCTCTTGCAATCATTCCATGCCCTCAGAAATAGCTTTTATATTCATTCATAAAACTGGCTTGCACAGCAAGTCAAAATATCAAGGGGGATGAGAGTCTGAATAGCACCAATATTGTCTTTTTTATTCCAAACAGATTTTAAGAGTTCATGCTTACCTTGATAGTTTCATATGTATCTGTAATGAGTGCAATGAAGAGACTTAGCACCATGTAGATGAACAGACTGATGAAGGAGTAGAGGTAGATTCTACTGAATAACCAAACCAAGTAACTTTTCTGCTGCATTTTTGCAAAAGTGGCAAACATGTCATCTCCATTTATCAATGAAAAGAGGCATTCAGAAACCACATTCAGAGAACGGAACTGGAAAAAGACAAGGACATCCATTGCCACTTTATTTGGGGCTCTACAATGTACATAACCTGAAGGAGATATATGGCTGTTGACTGGCTCCTCTGGACATTTTGTAGACCCAGAGCATGACAACATGTAGTGCTAACTGGAAAGCACTTATGGAATGAGCAGTTTGTCCCTCCTACACACAAAAGCAATCAATCCATTCTTTTGTAAACTCTTTGTATTTGATAAGCCAATTTCACCTTAAAAAAGGATAGTATCTCCAAAGCTTTAGTCTGATAACAGTGTTCTGTGAGATCAAAATTGTTTCTCAAAATACCATGCGGGACTCCCAGCATATGACTGGAAGTCACAGCAGCTTCCACTCCTGACTCAGAGCTTTCACAACCAGAGGGAAGTCTGACCATGTTGTGACAGTCAGGCTGCTCAAACAGTAGCATCATGTTGAAGATGAATGATTTTTGTATTAACGGAAGTCTTGACATGGAAGCATAGAAGATAACAGCAGTAAACTCTCATTTATTTAGAATCTATTCTATTATTCACGTTGTATTTTTAATCTTGAGTATATTACCTTCACATGGTATGGCCCCAGTACAATCCATCCGCAGAAACAATAGCCTAGATAGATCATAGCAGCACAACAGCAGAACCTCATGACGTTGGGTAATGCTGCTCGCAGCGTTAGAATGAGAAGCTGCAGAAAGCAGTGCAAACATTAAGAATTCAACCAGGCATTTCTTCGTGTTGTCTTATAGCAGCAAACAGAATAAATACCAACAGCATGAAGATCTCAGGAGATCCTTACATTATACTTCTGAAAGAAACCTAGGTAGCGAATGACTCCAAGCCACACCAGCATAGTGGATGTTCCTAGGAGTATGCTACAGACGTCATAACTTGTCAGACTCTAAAGGAAAAAAAAAAAAAAAGAATCAAGTATTATAACAAATGACAGGTTTTAAATTGCAACTCTCATTACTACAAAGATCTAATAAGAAACGTTGTTTTCCTTAAAAAGCTCTCCATTAGAAATTAGTTTGGGACAATGTGTTGTAGAGAGCAGAAGTGCCACCAGAAAGTAAGGGAACTTTCAAAGTGTTACTCATTTCACATGCCTTTACAAATTACTGTTGATGAACCAGATTCTCACCATGAGCTAAGTGTTATTTACTAAGAGCACAGCTGGACTGCAACTGCAGAGATCCCCTCTCAATGCGTAACTCAACAGGTCCTGCCGCGTGGCCCTGAAAACACCTCGTGCTGTCCCCAGACCTGCAGACACTCCTGCTGCAATCTGCTGCAACTGCAACAGCAGATTCCCCATACCAACTTGGGAATCTCTCTGCCACATCCCAACGTCCAGTGTAAGCCTGATTTTAGAACTACAGAGCAAAAACATCTCTTCCAGGATGTAGATAAAGCTTTATATATTATATATATATATATATATTTAAAATATATATTTTGAAGTGTCAGCAGAGTTCAGATAAATACTAAGGAGGATTTTGCTATGTAGCAAAGGCCCGTGAGGTGTAGGAAGTTGTCAAGGAGAAGAATAATTAGCTTTTAATTAGTTCTAACCAGAGCTTCATGTATATTTTATCAGCACTTGGCTGGGTTTTTTCCATCTATACATACTGGTCCATTTTCATCCAAGTTACCCTACACCTTGTCCCTTGAACTGCAGGTCTTCTCCAAAATGATCACATCTGGACAGCTGACTTGAATAAAAAGTGTTCACTACTTTCCATGAGAGAATGAACCTCTTCTGAGTGAGCAAGGACCTCTCTCATCCTAGCTCCTTTCTACTTCTAAGTTTACAGCTCCTGAAGTAAGATAGAGGAATGTGTGATAATCAAACAGTCACCAGATTGATTTCATCTCCGTCCTTTCATCACTACCGTCCAAAGTCTGTTGTGTTGCAATGCTATGCTTCAAAGTCTGATACAGATTCAGTAAAAAAAAACCAACATGATCTGAATACTAGAGTGCTTCAGTGTAACATATTGCAACTTTGGTTGCCCAACATTTCATATTTATTTATTTATTTTCTGTAGTTAGTTTATTTTAGAAATTGAAGGCTTAAAACCAGGCTGTGGCTGAGTGCTAGGCACATGCTGGAAACCATAAGCCAGGAAAACAGAAAAGTGATGGTTAAGAAGAAAATCTCTATGCCAGTTAAGCACTTTTTAAATGTGGTATGGAAACTTAAATGCTAAATTAAAAGAAAAAAAAAAAAAAGCAAATCTAACTGATCCTAAATGGGGCAGAGAGGAAGTCAATAGTCTTAAATGTTCAGAGATTAAATAATTTTATTCTTTTGAGACACCCTGAAAGGAGCAAAGAGAATTAGAACTATAATATATAGGGATATTTGGAAACAATACACCCGAGTTGTAATTCCAGACAAGAAAACAGAGTTTTGAAATGTTGTGCCAGTTGGAATCAAGTATAGCCAGCCTAGAGACCTCAGAGGTTTAAACCTAGGTGAGACAGAAATAGGCAGCATTGCTTCCACCTGACAGTGTAAGTATCTTACCTTGGCCTGTATCTCCATTTTGAGAGTTGATCCAGTGATAGTTAGGACATCGCTAACCATAATGAGGATATACCAGCCATTGACAAATTCCATCTGATCATTGTAAGATACTTCTTTCTTGTAATAATATAGGAAAAAACTTACAAATTCCTGGGGGAAAGGAAGAGAGGGAAAAGTTCATTAGACTAGTGCAAAACATAAAGACTTTCCAAAGGAAGAGCTTTACCCACTCTTTGGAGCCGAATTCCTTTGACTACTGATCGCGTGCAAAGGATCAATGAACTCAGACAGATCATTATGACAAAAGCATCGAAGATCATCATGTAATGAGTATTCTTCTGTACTGCAGGAACAAAAGCAGACATGTTTCATATATGTAATCATGCAGTTATATGTAATCAGATGCATCCTGAGTATTGAAGTACGAATCAATTTTTGATGTTTGCTCCGTTTATCCTTGCATTTTTCCCACAAAAGCTTGTCTGACATTTTCAAGAGACACACAAGTTTGTCTGCACTACCAATACCACTCCAGTTAATCTAGAAAGGTTAACACCACATAAAAAATGTCATACATCAGCATGTAATGTGTCTTACAAGGCTGCAGAATGGGAGGTAGGACTTGTCTATTTTGCAAGCACTGGAATGGCCCTTTGAGCCACAACATTTGTATAAAAAAAACAATCTCAGGAATTTTACAATATGCATCTTCTCTTCCAGAACAGAATTTGACTATCAGATGGCTCTTCTGTCCTTAGTTTGCATTATTACTCAGATAGCTATGATCAACACTAAGCTAGACATGATCTTTCCATATCTTTTGTTACTAAAAATAACATTCTTGATCAATTAAGGACAATTTTTGCACCAAAACTACTGCTAGACATCTTTTTCCTTTTTATCCTTCTCATATAGCAGAATCTAGATGGAGTTAGTATAAGGATTTGATTTTTAATGCTAAAAGAATTACTACATTTAAGGAAAAAAAAAGAAAATTAATGGTAAGAATGAAAGAATGAGCAGGAGCAAGTCTCCAAAATGGGATGCTGATACTCTAGTAGACATCACAGAGATACCAACTATCCAGAAAAAGCCCACATTCTTCTCGTTTAGAAGTCTCTAACACATGTACTGGTGCCAAACAAGATGGTTCTGCAGGTGGTTCTGCATGCTTCAGAATCACAGCATTTGACATCACTGCCTTCCTGTTTTTGTTTGGCTTTCAAAAAATAATATGGGGTACTTCAGGAGATGATACTGAAACTGTAACAGAGGCAATCTACATCAATGTCAAATGCAAATTATTATAGAGGGCTGCTATCAAAACCTTATCCTACTGCGCAAGTAATCTGTTAGATGTAGCATGCCATCTGGTGTACATTTATAACACAGCATCTAACAAAGCCAGCTGATTGACTGTTTAGCAGATTGTATGTTTGCTTAAACAGTGTGTTTCATCCTCTGTGATGCATTTCATTCAATTCATAAAATTAATTCCAGCTAGAATCTTAAAAAAACAATTCTCCTTTTCTTAATACCAGCTGTTCACAAGAGAATTTACTAGTGCAGGTAAAGCAACAAAATAGATAAATAGACCTCTTTCATCAGGAAAAACAAGAATTTAAAATCCCGCAAAGCTCCCGGTGTTCAAAGAGATTTTTTAATCTATAAAGATCTCTGGCAAAGTTTTGACTGGAGATAGTAGCTCCCAACGAAGAGTGCTCCTATCATCAACTATTTAAGATAGATATTCAACCCTACTGCACATCTCAGACTCAGATACACGCTAAACTATGTTCAAGCAGCAATCAGGAGTATTTCTAGCTATTTCACTCTAGCAGCCCTTCCTAGCAGCGCAACAGTGCTTCCTTATCTGCCTGCTGTTAAGTCCTGAAATAAGAGTGAATCAGTTTCAACTTTCCACCACTATCGCATGTCCTTCCGTTGCCTGGTGCTAGAGCAATGCTTCACAGCCTGCTGTAAACAGTGAGCAGCTTAAGCTCAATAGCCAAAACCAGAATGATGAAAACATTTTGATGCAACAGTATCAACGGTACAAGGTTTAACCGTTCTTTAAGAACAGTTCTTCAGGAAAAACAGACAAACAAACAAACAGGATTTAGAGTGTACCTATTAGACAATGTATGTCAATAGTGCCTCATCTTTAAATAAAGAAAGGTTAACTAGCATGAAAATTTAAGTTATATCACTTACTTGATCCAGAAACATGCCAGTCTTTACATTCTCTGATCTCTATGTCATTGTCTAGACTGATTTTGATTCTTCCACTGTGGGCTTTATTATCAAACACTATCTGTAGTAACAAAAAATTAATTAAAAGTGACTGTTAAAACATTATATATTTAGTATATTGTACTGCTAAGTTTGTACAATAATTCAGAATAATTCTCCTCAGGCGGAAGATATGAAAGTTGCTTATGATTAAAGTAATTCCTGTTTATTCAAGTCAAGTCTTGACAAAATGAAAGACAAGTTTGGTATTACTCAATTAAGTAAATACCAAAATACAGGTGGAATTCTTTTAAGCACAGCCCCACATCCCCATGGTCTGAAAAAAAACCCACAATACATCCCTAGAAACATCGCTCTAAAGAGAAGAGGTTCATGTTCTTTCCATACTTCAATGGGATTATATTACAAAAGCTGTAAACTGAACAAGCACACAAGGACTGTATCACATGTGCTCAAAGCTTAACCTACTGTAACACCTGAGAGTAGTTTACAGGGTACTAATTCATGGCAGAGTAATCCAGACTCCACTGAGGACACTGAGTGGTGCCCAGCACTCCTCAGAAAACATCTGCACTGACTGCATAGAGTAATTAAACATGAATGGTTTCTCATTTTTGAACTGAAAGATACAGGGCAGACATCAGTGTACCGTCAGGGTGAAATCGTAACAGTCAGGGAGCTCATGGTGACGAACCGTCTGGAGGTTGATTGCCTTCAGATTGAACATGAGTTGCACTGCCACTAGCCTGGAACAGGGTCTCACATTAGTTTTTTGCAAAGAAAATGCACAAAACCATCAGTGCAGGAGGTATTTACTTCTCCTTACCTGTGGAAATCCAGAGTGAAATTCAAATTGTGCTTTCCCACTGTTCTGTTGTCTAAAGACACCATTGGCTCAATGTAGAAGCAGTCTGCAATGGATAAGTACTCACAATAATATCTCAGAGGTTATCACGCTCTTTAACTGTAATCTGCCCTTCCCACTCCCAAGGCTGTGAAGTGCAGTTGACTAGAGCAGTAAAGATAGCATACTTAAGTGACGAGTCACTTTGGAGTCCCGGTTACAAATACGTTGACCTTCTGAACACCAGCCAAGTTATTCAGCATGAATTTACTGGGAAGGCGCCTGAAATCAGCCTTGTAAGGTCATTGTGCTAACAGCATCGCTTTTTGTGCAGCAGATATAAAGGACTGTTTCCCTAGAAGGGAGGTTAGTTACACAGTAGTTTTCTTACCAGTTTTGGCTAGTAGTAAGTTCAGTACAGATCACCTAATACAACTATACAATACTGGATGTTCACTAAGAATGTATCTTTAAATGTAGGGTCCCTCCTCCCAAAGAAATAATACAATAGATTAGATTCATCACCAGTCACAATCTCTGGGTCTATATCAAAGGTGTCATTTCCAGGACAGATGGTTCCTTGCTTGTAGAACTGTTGACATACAGCCAGAGCTGTCTCTTCCGCTCCTTTCTTCTCATAAGCATGGTTTCCAACAGAAATGTTGGGCAACCGTAAGTACTAAAGTTCAGAACAAAGAGATTAACAAAGTTAGATGGCACCAAAACTACTGATCTCTTGGGAAACAAACTAACAAACACACAAACACACAGATAACAAAGATAGCAAGAGTTTAGATTTATGCCATAACCTTTCTTTTTATTTAAAAGATCGTCTAAAGAACTTGGAAATGTTCACCACGCTACAGCTGAGTCTTCAAATACTTTAAAGCAGGGTGTACAACCTTTTGGCTTGCCTGGGCTGCACCGAGTAAAGAGGAATTGTCTAGGGCTGCATTTACAAAGGTCACTCCAAAAGTAATGCCTCTTAATTATTTCCATAGAAACTACAACTGATACAAAGAGCATAATAACACTATGGAATAGAGCACATTCTCAGCTACAAAACACTCTCTTTCAGCATGGTCACCACTATTAGCTGTGCATTTTCACCAGCAATGAGAAGGAGGCCGCATGCCATACTCATACAAATCTGTGGCAGTGGAAGTGATCTACTTTCCCTTTTGCCACTGCTGAAGTGCACCACCCACCAACTCACTGTGCTCACATCCACTGTTTGGTCTCCATAACTGTTCAATGTGGATATTTTTTATAGACTCCTTAGAGTTGGAAGGGACCTTTAAAGGTCATCTAGTACAAATCCTCTACAATGAACAGGAACATGCACAGCTAGATCAGGCTGCCCAGAGCTTGATCCAACCTCACATTGAAAGTCTCAAGGGACGAGGCATCAACCACATCTCTAGACAATTTTCCAGTGCCTCATTACCCTTACTGTAAAAGACTTTTTCCTCATATCTAACCTAAGCCTACCCTCCCTGAACTTGAAGCCATTTTACCTTGTTCTATCACCACAGACCCTGCTAAAGAGTCTGTCCCCTTCTTTTCTATAGCTTCCCTTTAGATATTGAAAGGCCGCTATCAGGTCACATTGCAGCCTTCTCTTCTCCAGGCTGAACAGCTCCAGCTCTCTCAGCCTGTCCTCATAGGAGAGGTGTTCCATCTCTGGGATTATTTTTGTGGCCTTATTCTGGATGCACAACTGGTCCATGTCTCTCCTGCACTGAGGACTCCACATCTGGATGCAGTACTCCAGAAAAGGCCTCAGTAGTGCAGTGCAGAGGGGAACGATCACCTCCCTCACACTGCTGGCCATGTTTGTTTTGATACAGCCTGGGATATGGTTGGCTTTCTGGGTGCAAGGGCACATTGCTGGCTGACGTCTACCTTCCCATCCACCAGTACCCCCACATTTGTTTTGTCAGGGCTGCAATTAATCCTTTCAACCCTAGCCTGTATTGGTAGTGAGGATCGCCCTAATCCAGGGGCAAGATCTTGCATTTTTCTGCATGGAGGAATTAAATGACACACCTTTCCTTCATATACACTTCCATGCCAGACATCATGCTGTCAGGCTGCCCCTCTGCTGCCATCTGCCACATGGCAACTACATGTAATGGGATACTTGTGGGAAGATTCAGCTTTACCGCCATCCCACTAAAATCTGTCCCTGACACTGTGGGCCAACATAATAAAACAGGAAGCGTTACTTGCAGAGGAGTACCTGCAAAAAAATATACTATAGTTTAAGTATATAAATAAAGCAACAAAAATATAGAACTAGGGGGACATTTGACCTTGTTTTTGTGAAACTAACACATCAATTTGGCTTGATGGAAGTGGTTGCAATTCTTAGTGAGTTCTCAATGTCTTCAGTAAAGATTTTTGATGAAATGTTACTCCTGTACTTCATCCTTGAGCACAGTTGTTCACAAATGTACACACTGCAGAAAGCGATGACAGAGATAAGGTGTGACTGTGAAGTGAGGAGTATTTCTCTCTGGTGAGAGGGGACTTATAAAGGACTGGTAAAGAGACATAATCAGATTTTTGATTGCAATTCTGTACATTCTGTTTGAAAATTCACATGTAATATGTTCACATTGACTGAAAATTGAGTCGCAAATATCTGTATAATTTTTTGCAATCTTGAAGCTCTCCTTATGTCCCAGTTTTAGCCCAGAGGGGGTTAATATTGCACTGGTGTTCAGTTGGAGCTGAGTGGTGGTTGTGCAGAGTGGTGGCTCTGCCATGATGGTGTGGGACAGGGGCTGGCTGCAGTGCCAGCTGTGCCTGGCCGCATGCTGCCCAAGGGCCACGAGTTGGACACATCTGCTTTAAGGTATTTGACAAAAGCAAGACGTGTAGGATTTGGGTCTAAATGCCTTTTTGCTGTGTATTATTTTTCTTTTTATAATCCTTGTAGACAGTGTAATTCAGTATTTGCAAAGCACTCTGGCTAAAATCCAAGCAGCTCATTGAGAACAAAACCTATTGATTTTGATTAGCTCCAGGGATGCCTGCACAAGTCCAGTGCTCTGGCAATGAGAGGCAGTCTGTTTCTTTTGCTGAGAAACCAGCAGATTTCTCCACCAGTTAATTCCAGAAATGGCGTTACTTGAAGTGTTAACACTATTCAACTAATTTAGCAACTAATATAGCAACACTTTTTATCTTAATGACTTATGGTACAGGAAGAGCAGTGAGATCTGAGTCATTTCAGGTTTTTCCTAGTCTTCCACTCCTGTTCCATTTAACTCCACGTTACTTTAATGCCACTAAGGAAATATGCCTCCTACAGCAAGAAAAATTGAAGAGCTGAAATACATTGACTCTGGATGGGGACTGACCAACGAAAGTTCACCTGCAAGCACTGAGGTGCAACTATGTTTGAGCGAGTGCCTCCGACAGTTGCCTTTTACAGAAGACTCAGAGTCATGGATGTACCAAAGAGCCATTTCTCTTCAGAGCCTGTCTGGTAGCCAGCATTGTGTGCAGCATTTACTTTGGTAGGCTTGGATACAGGTTTTTTTTTTTTCCTTTCTTTTTTTTTTTTTTTTCTTTTTCCTCTCTCTCTCCAAAAACTGTAATGGAATCCATTAGGAGAAAAAAAAAAAGAAAAAAAAAAAAAGTGGCAGGTCTACAGCCTTGTGTTTAAAAAAATCCAGCAGAGTAGTCTGCCATTCAATAAAAAATCCTCAATACTCAGCAATCCCAATTTTTATCTCAACATAAAGTCCCGTAAACAGCATAGGAAAGTCCTGTAAACAGCATAGGAAAAGCAGCGTTTGGAACCTCATCTTTTCATGAAAAGTAAGTCTCCAGGACAACATTAACTCAAAATGTGTTACTTCTTGTATATCACATTATAATTTTCATTCAACAATGGGACACAAGCCTTTCCCTCTACCAACTACATAAGCAAGTCAGTATTCTAGTATTAAGCAACAGGCACATGCATTCAATCTCAGACAGCATCCAGAAAGAAAGAGGAAGAAAGTGCACCCAGGTAAAGAGCGTGTATATTGTATTCATTGCAGTCACAATCCTTACCTGATTGATGGCAAAGAATATTTGGTCATAGACATCTGTCTGTGTGTATACCGCATAGGTATCATCCATTCTGTCCATGTACCCTTTCAAGAAGAGATGTTTGAATGCAATAGTGTTCTCTTCTTTGAAGGCAACCACCATTTGATTGCTCAATCCAAACAGCACCAGCTGAAAAAGACATTTATGTTTCCTATTCAAAGACAAATTGGGCTTCTACATTAATACACGAATTCTGTCCTACAAACAGCTAGTTCCCCTCATCATGCTGGTAAACACAACACTAACATGCAGGCTATTCCATTTCAGAGCTGGTCAAAAGAATGCTTTAAGGAAACAATGGTTCCTTTAACACAATGACCAGCATCTTGGCTAAGGACTTGCATTTTCACAAAGAAAAGGATACTATCTCAAATTCAATCTACCCATATACTGTTACACGTGATTGTTACTTCAGCCTGACACTAACATAACATGCCTTAGGAAACGTAAGTGTTTCTCAGAGAAAAAGGCAGGACAAGAAATAACCAGACCTCATTTTGAAGTCCTGACTCCAGTGCAGAAAAAGACAAATTGAGGACAACTCAAAAACAAACAAACAAACAAAGACAACAACAAACAAACAAACAAAAACAACAACAAAACAACAACAACAAAAAGCAACCAAACATCTTTCTCTCAGGTTTGAGTAAAAGGTGCCTTGACAGCAATAGATGAAAATGGTGCTTTAACAGGATAAATTCAGAGCCATCACATACTGCAACAGCTCATGAAGTTGGCATAAAACCTTGCTAGCTGCTATCCAGGCTGGGAAAGTTCCTAGAAGAATGTGCTCTATTGTTTGCAGGAGCTCACAGTCCTCATCAGTGCCTATTGTTTCACAACTAGTGTCTGGCAATATTGTGAAGAAACTCATCAGGGGTAAGTCTGAACCAGCAGTCAGTAAAGATCAGCTTTATGACCACTGGGCAAACTGGATATTTAATTTTTGATAAGGATAACTCAGCTGTTACAAAGACACTAAAGCAGTCTGTGGGTAAGCTGGGTGTTGAAGACACACAGGAATGCACTAGCAAATCAATAGCACAAAGATTTAATTACCTACTGGCAGATTTTCTCTGAAAAGTCCAGATCTTATTTAGATTCTTCCGCCATAAAATTTTATTTCTAATTGTAAAATGGGACAGTTAACAAGCAGAGGGGAAAAGGAAAAAAAAAATAAAAATCCTTAAAGATGGTTTCTTTCATTTCCACTCTCAGGAAATCTATTTTTCAGTCAGTAGTTTAAGAGAGAAGTATGTCATCCAGGATCCTGAGATCTACACTACATCTATGTGACCAAGATAGTTCTGCAGTCTGTCCTCCTTCAGTCTACACACAAGGCTAAGGAAAACCCTTTGTCATTTGCACCCCTCATTTGAATTCATTGGATCGAGTCCCTGCTTACACAGTACTCACCTGAATGGTAACCATTGCTATTTTGAGCAGTTGAATCCCAAGTTTCCAAGGTTTTCTGCCCCGGGCCCAGAATTTTTCACATGGGTTCATGAAGAAGAACTTCAGCTTCCTCCTGAGCTGGTCTTCTGCCAGCAGCTCCTGTGGCAGAGACAGGTGTTGCCTGTAGCTGCAGATCCCTTCGTCATCCAGAGCACTGCAGCTGCTTACAGCCACTTCAGGAGTCTCCATTGCTGAAACAACAAATGTCCATGGCAGTTGGAAAACATGCAAGCATCAATACAGCAGCATTAGATCAGCCTGCACTGACAACCTGGGCCCCAGAGCGTTTGTCTTCTGTGAAGGTACCCACATGTTACACTGAGCTGAAGAGCTAACTCCTAATGCTGCACACTCCCTGGAGGCAGAACCCATACAGGTAACTTAACATTCAATTACAAATGGAATTTCTGTCCGTTTGGAATGATGCAGTCACTTACGGAAAACCTCTCCCCCTCTCATTTCCCAACACCAGCACCACATATGCAGGACACTGTGACTCACTTCCTCCTGCCCAGAAGAGCACCAAAGCCTCTCTGCACCACTCTGGACACGTATCACTTTCTGGATCTGGTGTTCCCCACAGCTACCCATCAGCTGTCCAGTACCCAAAAGAAATGCAGTTTTCAAGACAAACAGTGCTTTTCTCAGGCGTCAGTGATAGCATCACTCTTTGCTGAAAGCAGAGCCCCAGCGTGCCAAGTGCAATTCAGATACATCACCTGAGCAACTAACTGGCACTTAGCACCACTATATCGATCGATTGCTACAGCCATAAAAGCCTGAACGCAAACCACCAGGTGATCATGAACCTGGCAGTAAGACCGAAGGTGCTGTTAAGCATCACGAGGAGCTCAGCTGTCAGGCGGCAACAAGTTCGGACCCGGCGGTCAGACACCGCCAGCAGGGATGGGGACAGGTGAGCCCTGCCCGGCCCGGCTCCGGTTCCCCAAGGCTGCACCGCCCGGGGGATGCAGCACAGCGGGGCTGTCGGGCACCTTTCTCTCAGCACATCGGGCATTTCCACACCAATATGCTCTGCCGCGGCCGCGCTGCTGTCAGTGCATGCGCCCGATAACAAAAAAAGTACTTCTTGACCTCACGGTATCAGCTGCAGAAGACACTCAAGACAAACGCAACGCACGTTTTCCAGCCAGCCTGCACACTGAGACAACGCGGGCCCCGATCCCCCTGGGATATCGCCGCACACAGCCCGTCCCCTCCTTGCAGCACCGCACCGCACCGCACCGCGCCTCGCCCTCTCCCCACGCTCCGCAGCCGGCGGAGCGCCACGGAGCCTCCTCCCCGCAGCCCTCCCGTACCCAACCGGGAGAGAAGCGCGGGTTTCCCGGCTCGCCCCCCGCCTCCCGCCCCGCAGCCCAGGGCGGAGGCTTTGACGCAAATACCTGAGCTGCGCTCCCGCTGCGCGCACCGCGCTCCGGCGCCCGGCGGGGTGCAGCGGTTCGGCGGCCTCCCGGCCCCTACCGCCGCCTGCAGGCACTGCCCGCGGCGCGGCACCGCCCTGCCCGGCTTTGGTTCGGGCTGCCGCGGCGGGAGGGAGGGCCGAGTCAGTCGTCCTACAGTTTGATGTGCCAAATCTTTAATTAAACAAAACAGAGCAAAACACAACGCGATGCAAGAGACCCTTCCGGTTACGGAACTGCAGTTGCAAAGGGCAGGCGGCGGGACGGGGCTCGCACAGATCCGGGAGCGCTGCGGGCACAGGGGATGACGCTGGGGCAAACTGAGTTATCGCCGTGCGCCGCACGGAGGAGCGCAGCTCCTTACTGAATCAGACGGCGCCGAGCCGCCCGCCCGACACGCGCCCAGCACAGCCGCAGCCCGCTGCCCGCTGCCCGCTGCCCGCTGCCCGCTGCCCGCTGCCCGCTGCCCGCTGCCCGCTGCCGGCAGCCCCTCGCGCACCGCACGCTGGGGCGCGGAGCTTTCCTGCCCGGCTGCAGACCAACCAATAGCGACTTGGCCCCGTGGGGGCGGGCTCAAAACGCAGCGCGCTTATTGCCTGTCGGAAACGTCAATCCCGCTTCCTCCTCCCCTCCCTCCCCCCGTTGCCATCGCAACCGCACGCCGCGCAGGTAAGCGGGGCTCCATGCGGGCCGAGGGGCGGCCGCGCGTTGGAAGGCTGAGCTCCTTGTTCCTCGCCTTCGCTGCAAATAAAAACCTCTGCGCATTTCTACTAAATAACGAAATCTGCACCTGGCTCGCGTAGGCTCAGTTGCTTCAAGATCTGCGCGTGCGGAATAAGTTACACTCACGTGCGGAGCGGATGTGGCAGTTGCCAAAGCTTCAGCCCAGGCTCGCAGAATGAAGCTGCATTGAAGTACGTACAACCATTCGTTGCAGGACAAACCTGAGGTGTGTTGTTTGCCCTTCGTGTAGAGCAACGTAGATTAAATAAAGTGAACACTGTACGTGAACTTACTTAAGTAGCGAGTAGGTCATTACTGAGATGGTATTTTTAGTAAGTTCCTAAATGTTTACAGGCAGAAATGTGGGCTTTAGCTTGACAGTGACAGAAAAAAAAGAAAAAAAAGAAAAAAAAGCAGCAGAGTGGTTTTTAATAATTTCCTCGTAGCCCTTCTGTTAAATTGACCCCATTTTTGTCACAGCAAACTAGTCTTAAATTAGTAATGCACATAAACTGAAATCTAAACCACTCAATTAAGCAAGTATTGAGCCACTCTGTGCCCTCTGTTCAGACAGCAACGGTTGTGCTGCTGGCAGCTGATGCTCCTTCCATCTGCAGCACCTGGCAACATCACGCCTCTGTTCTACAGCCATCAATATCCGGGCCCATTTACCGGGGAGGAGAACATTCTGATCTTCATTTTGCTCTTTATGATATTATAAAGTTCAGAATGTTACATCCAGCTACAGCTAAATGAGGCTGCATGATGTCAAACATTCACAGCTTCACATGGGCTTTTGCAATTAAACACCATAATGCTGTGTCCCACTGGAACTGGAAAATTTGCTGAGAAATTAGGCTGAGCATATGTAATGAAAAAATGAACATAACGTGTTACTGCATACATAAAATAGCAGGCAGTTTATACATCAATTGATTTTCAGTTCTTTTTTGTTGATGGGTTTTTTTGTTTGTTTTTGGTGTTTTTTTTTTGTACTTTTATTTTTCGCACTCATAATTTTTTTCAAATTATGTTACTATAAATGTTCGTTTTTCAGAAGTGGTGGCAAGAGGAAGGTAGATCACTGTGCAGCTCAGGTTTTAAAGTTCTCATCAGGTGCCAGCCTCCCGCAGGGAGCACCTAGAGGTTAGTACCATAATCCTGTTTAAACAACAAAAAGTAAACCCAAACCTTTGCATATATATAGCCTGTAAATGGATGTGGGCTCGATTATCTTTCAGATAAGTTTTTAGAAGTCCTGTTTTTGCTTTCTTTGGAGGCCTTAAGTATTTCCTGACAGCTGACAGTCAAGTGCCCACAGGAAGACAAGTGGGCAGATACAATATGTTAGGGATATTGTAAAAGGAAAAAATTCCTTTGTGCTTTCTAACTGTTCTAGATATTCACCTTTCCAGTCGGTAAGGTTCTTTGCACCACGGGTAGAACCATAAATAATCCCCATTGATTGCTGTATTATTCATTTCCAACATTTAAAATGGGGACACTTCTTGTATTAACATTTGCCTACAGATGTACTCGCCCCCTCTGCCTTCATCAGCACTCCCCATCTGTGTAGTATAGTTGATTCTTCTAGTTAAAGAAGGGAGAACCACATTACTTGGAGACAAAATTTTAATCACTTTTATAGGTATAATATTCTTGAAGTCAGTCAAAGGAGAAAGGTTGTTTTTATTTGCAAGTTATCCTGCTAAAAATAGTCATGTGATTTATCTCAGCCTTTCAGTGTTTCCTCTCTTCATGTGACTTGGGGTTTCAGTTACTCAGCAGAACTCATATTTTCCAAATTGGCTTTTTCTCAGTGTATAATTATGAAATGGCTAAGTAAGACAACGTGACTGTAACACACACAACACAGTTCGTGCCATCCTTCAACTAACTTCTGAAACAACTGACCTCTCCTCCTAACCACAGGCACCAGTGTCTGCTCCATTCAGCAGCAGCAATGCTGACCACGAATTTTATTTAAAACATACAAAGAGATGGATAGGGAATACCTTAAATAAAAAAAATAAAATGACCAAAAAAAAAAAAA